CTCATCACATTTTTGTAAAAATCCTTTTCCTGCAATACAGAAGGAGAGTTGAAAGCAATAGTACCATGGACTGGCAGTAAAAATGACAAAGAGCAGATTGGGAGGCCCTACAAATGAGTTCACCCATCCAATGAATTTTAACTCAAGCCTACACAGTCACCACTGAGTCTGTGAGATGGGAGATCTTACAGAAAATTAATGAGACTGTGGATATTATTTCACGACCTGCTTAAAAGCGTATAACTAAATGCTGCTAAAAGGTTAGGCTCAGTATTCCCTCTACCTCCAGTTCGCAAAGAAATATTCATTCTGTGTAAGCAGAGACCAGAGAGCACTTTCATGTCTTCTGTGGCAGGCCCTGAACACATGTAATGCCCAAGGGCTACCATCTCTGGTTAGCACTGTCCTTTGCTTCTAAGGAGGCTTTTCTGTAAGAGCTCACAGAGCACATCCTCCTTCTTCCTTCCTAGCACCTTAATTATCTTGTGGTTATACAGAATTAATATTTCATTGGTGAGCTAATCAAAATCAATTAGCCATAACTTTGATTAGTAATCTCAAAATAATTTGCCTTCTTAAGAAGAAAGATGTCATTGTCCCTCTAAATTAAATTACAAAAAACTATAAATTAGAAATATAAATTAAACTTATGAATTAGATTACAAAAATTATGATTGCCTTTCTTGACAATAAGGACATATCAGGCTTGAGATAAGCAGCTTCTGAAGTTGTAAATTAATCTCATTCAGAAAAAAAACATTATACATCATTGCATATACTGGAAAATGGGTCCTCTGTTAGGGCATCACCAGCATACAAATATACTGTGACTTATGATTAAATCATTCAATGAGAAAGAAAGTGAAAGGAGGAAAATTATCTCAGAGGCAGGAAAGTGAATTCAGTGGCATTACAGTCCAAATATCTTTACAGAAGTTTAATGGAAAGACCTAGTGAGCAAATATGCTCCCCACCATGATTGTCTAGAAGGTGCACAAACCCCGTCCCTTCCATTGAGATAGTTTCAGTAATGAAGCAAATTAAAGTAGATGCCTTTATGCCAAATGAAACACTCTTCTTTTATGGGCAGGGTGGTGGGATTGCTTTGGTTCTGTGTTTAATATTGTCAAAACTGACAACCAAGGCTACGCTTGTGTTGACTGATCCCAGCATACCAGACTGTAACACACTGAAGCTCCCATGTGCTGAACTACAGGAAGAAGAAATACAAAATGGATTTACTTCCAGGAGATACTCACAAGCTCATAATAATAATAATTTGATGCAATAATATTAAATATTCATATATCCAAGAGAGTTATAACTGCTCCACTGAAACATTTTTCCTTATGAAGGCACATGGCAATACTTACTAAAATAACTGAAATAATGTAAACAATAAATATCAGTAATACTGTCTATCATGTGGAAAATCCTTCTCAAGAAAGTCTCAGAAAAATGGTTAAGATAACTACAGTATACTTGTTTCAAGATCCCTCAGTATGGAACTCCCTTCTAACTTAGATGCAGCAGTATTATGAATAAAATCCATCATACAGAAAACAATGTCATACATCATTTCACCAGCCATTCCTGAGAGACGTTAAATGCAAAATTAAGGCATCCTAAGTATTTTTCTCTATAATGGAGGGTGAGTGATTAAGCACAGTGAGCTCTGGTTTCTAGAGTTGGAGGGGTGACCATCCACTGTCACCAGCTCTGCTTCTAAGGGATGCCACTGTCTCTTGCAATCACGTAAGGGTTATTTTCAATTAATTATACTAATGGAATTATTATTAACATATTCATAACACATTCTTTCCAACAAGCTAGCCAGTTACAATTTTTTAATTTGAAAATAACTGACCAATTAAAGAGTTACCCAATTTGAGTGAATCATACTATAATCCTGGGAATTTCACCCAGATTTGTAGCACGTTGCCAAGTTCACTCTGCTGACAAGTTCACGAAACGATACTGCTTTGCACACTGATTCTTATATTCCTGCCAAGATGAAGCTGTAACAGTTTCATGTAGTTGCAATTCAGGGCTCCCAGAACACTGCCTACAGTGATGGGGTTATAAACCCCTTACTTCCATTTCACTTGCTCTATCTGTGCAGGAAAACCTCCCCCAGAATCTTACTTTGAAATAATCATCTAACCCAGAACTCCTTATTTAAACTCAAGTATAAGGGATTTTTGTTAAAACTCAACAGTAAAACTTTTTTTTAGTGCACCCTCCTCCTGCAATATATTCCCAAGGATATTTATTAACTGTCAGCCAAATACAAATGTAGAACAGATGGTACCCTAAAGTAGACAGGTAATGTGCATCTCTGGGTCACCTTTTATCATAACCATGAGGAACAAGTCGCTGTAATTCAGGTTATGTCATTATAGATTTCTTTTCCTGATTCTCTGTAGAAGCAAAGAGATCTATGTAGGATTTCTCTCCACTTTCACTAAGAACAGGTTTACGAAGAGAGCCACTTTCAGAGGACTGAAATATACATAAAATAGCCTCACAATGACTGTCCTTGAAGACTTAACAGGAATGACAGAAAACTGATATTAATAAAGAAAATTCTTATTTTAAAACATAATCTTACTGTTAAAAAAATTTAAGAGACAAAATAGATTTTCTTAAGCAAAAGCTAAATACAATAAATTGCTTAATTTCCTCTGTAGTTCCAGTTAGGCTGCTTTAAAAGTATATAGGAGCATTCTACCAGTTCACAGGGACAGACCTGGGGGACTGCATGGAAATTATGGAGGTGTTGCAGTGAGATGGATAATCCTTCAGAACAGGGATTTCCACTCAGCAATATTTGCCATGAGCTTTCTGAACTTTCAGTTTAAAACACACCATGAAACAAGAGGCCTAATTCCCTGTTGTCTTGTAGTCATTTAGCCATGATCAAACTTGAGACAGGGAAAAATCCTGCACAGTGATTTGGCAATTCTGTGTACTACCTACAAAGAAGTAAATATAACTGGCAAGGGCAGGATAGAGGAGATTCTACACACAGATTTTTACCCACCTCTCATTAGACACCAGACTGAAGCATGAGTCACATATAATCAACTTGCAGCATAATAAGTTTTATTCCTGTACAAGTTTTGTCACTATTTCGAAGGTATGGGGGAAAACTGAAAGAGTTTTAAAATAAATTTGTTATTTTGTACATTCTATGGTCTTCTGTTTTTAAAGCAAGATTTCATATCATTTTTATGAATTACTAAAAATGTGGCACAAGAGTGGAACAAGAGGGTGCCTTGGTGTATTGTACTCTTTACTTTGCTGAAGAGTCCTTTAAACTTCTATTGGACAAGGAGCTTTAGACTGAAAGTCAAAAATGTTTCAATTACACTAAAGAAAGAAAAACCAGTGTAAATCAAAGAAAACCAAGCATGGCATGCCAGAGCTGACTGAACACTTATTCCTGCCCAGCTAGCTATGCAAGAAAACCTCAAGTTAGCCAAGTAACTGAGAGTAACAATGTAAAACAGGTGCTGCCAATGTGTGGGTACAGCATAGTACCCCCAAAAATATGTCCCTAATGACACCAAGTCATTTGGGGAGAGGTTGCAGAACATGCTGTATCCTTGTCTTCTTGGCTGCAGTCCTTGGAAAAGGAATTCTGAAGGCGAGGTTTGCTGTGCTTAGGAGCACATGCCTGCTCACCAGGTCAGCAGCCCAGAAAACCCAGAATTCAGCTGTTTTTCCACAGTGCTGAGGTCAGTAAATGTCAAAAGGCATCATCTGTTGACCACAGTCTTCACCTGATAAGATGCAATTGTGACAGATGTGGACATAGTGAAAAGGAGTGGAAGATCTTAGAAAATTTTTCTAATGTTTTTCCTGTATGACTTATACTATGTACTTTTTGTCCACAATGAAACTGTTTAAAAGCAATTCTGTCTATTATTAAGAAAGCCAGCTACATTGGAATGTGGTATCTTTAGATGGTATGAATTATATGAATTGACATAGTACTTTATTATCCCTTTGACTTACAACTTACCAATTGTACTTTTTCTCCAAACCCTTCCTAGGTACTTAAGAACCAACAATTTTTTACTGGAAGGTGCTTTGTTTCCTGCCAACGAGCACTGAAACAAAAGCTGTTGCCTGCAGCCTTTGCCAGTGCTAAGCAGTGTAAGGTGAGCACACACAGCACAGCCAGAGGCAGGGCAGAAAGCATACCTTACCTCCATGCCTCACTAAATAATACATTGGCAACGCAAGCACGCAAGAGATTTGGTGTCCTGTAACTACTATCAGACGTGTGTCCATCAAGCCTCATGTTCGTTAGTCAAATGAGACCAATGAATTAGAGAATGTTCAAAATGGTCTTTCTTTAAATCTGCTCAAAATGAGTGCAGCACAGCCACAACTGGAAAACTTCACTGAGAAGAACACAGCGGTAAGAAACTCACTGCAAATATGCAGTTTGTGCTTTTTCAGTTTGGTTGTTTTTTTGTTTTGTTTTGTTTTCATAAATAGGATGTCTACTGGGGGGCCTGATACTGCTCATGTAATAAATGAGAATGATGGGATAAAAAGAAAAATAATAAGCATGTCTTTCCTCAATCCCATTAATATGAAATATGCACCTTCTAGTCCTCTCTTATTAGATGATAAAATGTGTTGATTTTGCTGGTAAGGTATAAGAAATTATTGTTTCGGAGTGATTTGCCTTAAAATACTGGAACCTTGTTACACCAGCTAGAACAGCACCTATGATAAAGTTGAAACAACATTTAAAATTTTATTATTTACTGATGCATATTTGTATCAGGATAAAGCTTGGCATGTTAAATGATAGCCCCAAATAATGTATTTTCTCAAATTATGACAACGAACTTGGAAGTACTTTATATTTTATAATAATGAAGAACAGTTTCAGCTCTTCATAAACTTGTCTGAGTTGCTTTTGTTAAGAACTGTCTGAAATGTAAATGAGAAATGTTACAGATACTGGAGGGTCTGCTTACCTGCAGCAGAAACTGCAAGTTTTTCAAGCAACGGTGTCAGAAACGTGCACATGAATGCTATACAGTCCTCATTTGCAATGTGCTGGTTTTTCATAATTTATCCCAAAATGTCCTTGGAGCCTCATGCCAGGGATTCCTGAGAGTGCAGACTAATTGGAATCAGAGTGAAACAGAAAGGGAGGTCTCAGACACAAGAGCTGGATGAAGTAGTATGGCAGATCATGAAAAGGACTTGTCAGATCTTGTCCTCAAAAGATTTTTGGGGTTTTTGGTATGAGGGTCTTTTTTGTGTTGTGATTTGTTTTGTTAGGGTTTTTTGGTTTTTTTTTTTTTGTTTGGTTGGTTTTTTTGTCAATTGAGAAGGAAATTCAACTCAATATGCAGTGGCAATTGCCAGTTATTTGACAACAAACTGTTTTCTAAAGTCAGTAAAGGACTTACCAATATAATATGTGTGATCATATCATCCCATGGGGATACAAGCAACACTCTTCACAAATAGTTCTACAAGTAAACTGCATCAGTTTCTCCTTCCCTAGTGAACAAATAAAAGAATTTACATGTAAGAAACATTTAAGATAGCAAGAATATGATAAAGATGCAGGTAGCCATTTTGCCAAAGGAATGCAGAGCAGAACGTACATAGTTTTCCTCAACAGCTTTTCCTGAATGCAAATGTTCATCTACTAATGAAATACACAGTCTGTGAACAGTAGAGGAAGGCATGTCTCATTGACAGTGCAAGAAAAACCATACCAATTCAATATACAACTGTGAAGACAGATTTATCAACAATTTCTGATTTTAAAAAATCCGGACATTTACCAGATCTCTGCAATCCATGAGCCCACAAAATCTACAGGCCTTCCTGTTGCTCTTTGTTCAAGAAAAGTATATATCTATCAGGTTTATAACACGAAATAAAGAATTACTGTAAGTCCCTTATTAAATTAATAGGAGACCGATACAAAAGACCCCAGAGAAAAAACACACACCAAAAAAGAAAACCTATAATGTGACTGCAGTGTTTGAATGCTGTACCATCACTGGCCACATAAAACAGACACATTAATGCAAAAGGCTTATAGGTAGCATTCACAAAGATCTACTTGTGAAGTTTCTATAACATTTTAGGTACTTCCTTCACAAAAACTCCATCATCCATTTCTGCCAGAATGACTGCTCATGATCTTTTCATACTGTAATCTTCACTTTTCCACTTTCTGCCACAGAAGCACACTTGAGTCTCCATACCAAGGAAAATGGGAGTACAATGCTCCCTGCAAAATTTTAATCTGACTGAAACCTTTGTCCTATCACATTAACAATAAATACATTGCTCATTTTTATGGGGTCTTACCTGTTATGAGCAGGTGTGACAGGACTGGAAACATGACTGTAACAGACTATAAGTTCTGCCTTGCCACCAGTCCCATTCATGGGTGGGCTCCTATTATGCCCCTCCTGGGAAGAGGAAAGTCACAGACCCAGATCCAAATTTGCCAGCATTTCAGCTAATTGGATAATGGAATACATCTATTGTCACTGTGAGATAGTAAATCTAGATATGTTTGGGGGAGAAATAACTAGGCCAGAGGACAAATATAGAAAGCTGAGAGACAAAAATAGCAGACACAAAAGACAAAAGCTTGATACTTGATAAAATCAGAAGTATCTGTTCTCCCTGTCATTTAAATAAGATAATTTTACAGATGGACAGTAAAAATTAAAAAACTACAACCAGCAGATCCAGTATGAAATTATAATAATGACTTAGGTCAAAGTCAGTATCTATTCTTTTCTCATTTCCTTTATTTTCTTCCTACATTTTCAGAAAGGCACTACATTTCAGTAGTGCCTAAAGATGCTAAAAAAGCTCAGGTAACAATGAAAATAAATTACAATCCTAGATATCAAGTATTCTTCAAATATGATACTTGACATAAATTATTGTTAGTATTCTACAGTGGTTGAATCTACTATGAACAAGTAGGGAAAGAAATTAGAAGATCAAAGACACCAGTAATAAAAATTGTGAAAACCTCAAATGACTTCTAGAGCACACCTAAACCTGGTTTGGGCTTTATGTTTTGTTCTCCCCTCCTTCCCCAAGTTTCAGAGGTACATTTTCACTAAAACACATATTTAGAAAGTGGCTAAAAGTCAAGTTTGGGCCTAGGTTCAAATTTATTCTGGACACAAATGCAGATATTACAATGAAATCTCTTTTGGGGTAGGAATCCAATTTTATAGATTACTGAATTTCCACACGATTTCCCTTTATCCAATGTGTGCACTTGAATAAGGCAGATACTCATTTTATCCACTACCGGGCACGGGTACCACACTAGACAAGAGTAAAAGAAGCTACCACAAGTGTTAACAGTATTTTGAGATCTGTGAGGGAGAGGCAGGTGCACTCCAGACTATTTTTGAAAGAAGCATAACACATACCCTGAAAATTACTGAAACCAGCAAAAGCACCCACCAACAATGAAGCAAAATACAGGAGAATGTGGGTATTGCATAAGCACCCCCAAGCAAATGAGGAAAACCCTTCTCCACAGCCTAAAGTCAATCCTTAGATTGCAGCATAAATAAGGAGTATTTCTAACCTACAGCTGTGAGTTAGGATGAACATTCTTGCAAATGGGGAATTTAACAACTGTTCTTCATTTTGGGCCAGAAGCCAGACCCATTTAGGATCTTCACTGTAAGAAATACACATGGTAGGGGAAGGAAGGATGACACTCTAGCTTGCAGGAAGGATTTAGGAAACAGCTGGTATCAGTTAAGGAAAACTAGCAGGATGTTAACCACAATCACAGTGTAGTTCTGACAAAAAACTAAAGGAGAACCAAGTCTTGTGCCAACTTCTGCTTGTACAGAAGATGGAAAAGGTGAGTGAAGAAACTCCTTTCCATATTGTTCAAGAAAAGTGGACCTTGACGTCTCCTTCTAAAATTACTCTTGGAATGCATCAAGTACCCAGCACTCCTCATGTATTTTTAACTCCTAAGTAAAATATTACCACATTAATTCTGGTTAAAAAAATTACTTAAAAACTGAAGTCCAACTCCCAACAATGCAGATTAAATTAAACTCTATCAAACATAAGAATATGTTACACACATACAAGAATTTCTTTCCAAAAGAAAGGGACTCATGAATTGAGATTTTACTTACTAGTTGGACTGCAGCTCTTGTTAACGGTTCTTTCTCATTACTATTTTAAATTCACATTCTTTTTACTTAAATCTCCTTTAGAATGAGATGCAAAAACTTACATTTGAGTATTTGCTACAGTGCAGAAAACAAAATCAAACCTGTTGGGAGCTGATTTCAGGAAAAGGGGAGCAGAATTCATCAACTGGTGCAAAATAACAGAACAGCAATTTTCCTTCCCAAGTGTATCATAAGAAAGACAGAATAAGTCTTTGTGATCTTTGTGAGATCAGAAAGGCTGGATATCAACACTTAGCAATTTACCTGACAAGAGTTACAGTGCAATTAGGAGAACTACCCTGGGTTATGTTTCCAGGCTACCCAAGCAGTCTCTCAGCTAATGCAGTAGCCCTTCTCTCCCAGCTGATTTAAAATGCTATGACTCAACCCACAACACAGACAGCTGTATCAGGTCTTAAAGAAATCAGCAGTCACCTGTCACAACAGCTTTCATGCAGCACACACTGATTACCAGGCACTCATTCATTAACCCCACTTTGTTTGGAATTCTCACTAATTGCATGCTTGCTCCCTTTCCATTCATGATAGACAGCAATTCTGCTGTCAAGCTGAAGAATGAAATGTCTGAACAGCACCTTTAATTCACTCTATAATTCACATATTCCTCTTGTATGAACACACTGAAGCCTTTCACTGACTCCTACTGGATCTGCTCTTACTGGATCTCACATCTTCCCTTGGGAAGTGGCTTCTGTCCCAGCCACCAGTCGGTGTCCCAGCCTGTCCTGCGACCCACAAGGGCTCCTGACCTTCTCTGTGGTGGCCTCTGCTGGCACCGTGCACTGGCCTCTGACCCAGGTGCGTTTTGCATTGGCAGGGCATGCTGGAGCTGGCAGACTTGCCCCTGCAGAAGGGCTCCGTGGAGCTCCTCAAGCAGAGGTGGGAGTCTGCCAGCGCTACGAGACCAGGCCTGATGTTCCAGCACTCGCCACTCCCACCACCCCTGGTGCCAGACAGGATCGCCCTGGAGAAGATGCCATCAGACAGCAGGAGGGCAGATGTGTTCAAGGAGGAGACCCCAGGTGGATCTCAGCTGGTGGAGCACATCCCTGTCACCGTGGAGGAGCTGCGGAGCCACTTTGAGGCGCTGGGTGGCAGGAAGGTGAGTGCCTGGGCGGGGTGGGAATGGAGAGGGCCCGGAGTGGCTTCCCCAGGCTCACACTGCCCCTCTGCCGTGCCCTGCTGGGAACGGGGATCCATGGCCACAGCTCCCATGGATGTCCTGTGGACTGTTTGCATCTGTTAACACTGATTGTCATTATCTATTATTATCTATAGCTTTCCTTACTGTGTAATTTTATTGGTCTGTTTCATTTTAATGGTTTCTGACTGGTGCTAATTGCCAAGCTATCAGGTAAATTAGTGTGCAGTTGTGTTTGGCTTGTGCTTTTTAGAAGAGGAAATAACCAAGATACTTCACAGAATCACAGAATAATCTGAGTTGGAAGGGACACACATGGATCATCAACTCTTAAGTTAATGGCCTGAGCAGGGATCAAATACACAACCTTGGCATTATTAGCACCATACTCTGACCAACTGAGCGAATCTCGGGGTCTCATATTAATGCTGAGAGAAGAATTCCCAAATGAAATTATTCACAAACACTCCAAAACTTTCTGAAGCATTTGCTTATTTTTAGAATAGTACTGGTTCCCTTACGATGAGAAGCTTGCTGTCATTTTACACATTGGCTTTCCCTGGCATTAACATGACAGGCCTGGTGAAATTGCAGCCTTTATTTGGCATCAGATTTTTGTCTGAGAAACGTCTCTGATTTCTTTGAACTATATGGGGAGAAGCTAGACATTTTTTGGAACATAAAAAATGCTTCATAGAAGTAAAGGATACTGAAAAGATTAGTAATCTTATTTAAGATAACGTGATACATTATTGTAGCTAGAAAATCTTTCACCAACTTTTACCTCTTCTGCATGAAAACTGAAATGTCCCTGCAAGGTTTGGTTCCTGATGGAGTATTTTATGCCTTCCACATTTTAATTCCTCACTTTTTGTTCACTATCAGTTTAAAAACAAAAAAAAATAAATAAAAATCCCCTTTTAATAACTTATATCCCACATCACAATTAAAGACATATTAATACTTGATTTCATAATGTGTTCTGCTTCAGGATGACCCTGCCAGTCCATGGAGTCAAGTCATTTACCCATTTCATTTTAATACCCAGGGTGATTTAAACATGGCTTTCTGGTCCAGAAACTGCAGTTCAGAATAATACATGCTGACAATTATATAATTCATACACAAAACTGAGGTACTAAAAGGTATTATAAAGCTTTTTTATGTGAACAGTAAAATAAAAATTCATGTGATTAATGAAAAAAATCTTTTCATTCGCTTTAAACATATAACACACAAAGTAACAGGAACCAATAAAGTAAAGGTTAAAACTTTATGGGGTTATTGAGCACTTTAAAGACCATATAAAATAGCCATAGACTGCTTCCAAGTGGCATGCTCAAATGCTTTTAAGGGGGAGACCTTTTTGGTTGATCCTAGAATTTTTTTTAAGGTCTCAAAATAAAATTTTTCTCTCTGAAGCAAATCATTCAGTATTGCAAACACAATCAATCTTGTAGGAGCAAATTGGTTCTATTTTTAGTCTTATTGGAATGCAGAGTTCCTTACTGATTGAGAAAGAATATTTTGGACTTAAACAGCATTATTCTCTTGAGAGAATTAAAGACATTTCTTTCAACAATACTGAAGATATTTAAAGGTATCTATTAAGCATTTTATGTGTATCAAGCTAATGCTAAAGACTTAAGAGGTTAGAGTTAACAGTAGTATTTATTAATATTAATTATTACTAAGTATTTTAGTGTTTAAATATATCATGAGATAAAAAACTTACCATGAAAAACAAAATTTGTATTAGGATGCCTTCAGAAGGCACATCTTGACTATACTTCTATTATCAAGTAGTGACTGACACAAGAATATACTTATATCACAATATAATAAAAGGGAAGGTTTCAGCTCTCTGACTGCTTAAGATTCAGTCTCTTTCAGCCACACTACATTTCCATTGGCAGGAGGAGGGAAGAATGAGATGATGCATTTTCCCTGGATTTTTGTAGTAGTTTCACCCAGAAGCCATCAAGAAGGTTAGAACAAAATTAGAAACAGCAATATGTAAAACTAAGTCAAAGCCATAGAAATTCACAGTGAAATCTGAAAAATTTAAACAAAATGCCAGCTACATCAGTTACCTTAAGCACAAAGGAGTATCTTTACTATCATTATACTCAGGAAAAGACTGCCAAATGTTGGAACCCTATTTGGACTATCTTTTGACTAACCAGACTTTCAACACTGGGTCCATTTTATTACATTATTCCATAGGAAAAACAGATTTTATTCTGAGGCAAAATACTGCTGATTAAACATTCTAAAATCTACCATTCCGGTTGCATTTTCACTGCAGTGCTATTATTTGTATATGTACAAAATTAATAGAGAAAATCAGGTCAATTAAATCACACTAAAACATAAACCCACTTCTTAAAGACCTAGATCAATCCTATAAAGAACACTCTGATGCTTCAGAAGAGAAAGACATCATTACAGACACCTGCAAATGTATTAAGACTTTGCCCAACCCTATTTATTTGGATGAAATTAATGATTCATATTTTAATAAATAACACAAAACGAGGAAATAGTCAGTAAATACCGAGTTCAGTGATTTTGAAGCTAAATTACTTGGTGAATTCAAATTACTTTGAATTCACCTGAGGTTGTCCCAGTAGAACTTGGATGTATTTCTTTCTTAGGAGTATTAATAAGTTAATAATCGAGTCTAGTTTTGGAGCCTTTTAATTTAGGCCTATTGTATCAGAACCGACACCAAATGTTCAATAATTAAAAAAAAAACGGTAAAAAAACCCAATCCGGTAAAAAGAAAAAGAACTCCCCCTTTCTAAAAGAAAAAAAAATTCCTAAGAAAAAAAAAAGGAATAAAAAAACAAACTAACAAAACGAAGGCCCAACCAAAAGAAAAAAACAAGTTAATAACAAAAAAAAAAAAGGAAAAGCCAAAACAAACAAAAACCAAGGTTTCCGCAAAAGAAATAAGGAAGATTTTCTTAAAATATGTGCAAAAATCCCAACTGACAAAGTAATGTCATGCTTACTTCTTAGAGAAACCTATTCAAAGAACTCATTAAAATCATTCATTTAAATAATCTGGTATATGGTCATAAAATTGTGTCCTTTGCTGAAAACATGAACTGCTGCCAGAAAATAAATGAACGCAACTGATGTTTAATGTAAAAGGTTAGACCTTCATTAAAATTGTCTAAACAAGAAACATCTTTTTTTTTCCCTTAGCACACTCAGAAACATTTATATTAATTTAGCATAGCCACATAATGTGGAAAATGGAAACCCCATGAAAACTGTAGGCCGTTTTTGTACCCTGTTAGCACTTGTATCATTTCTATTTTTGCTATGGATGAATGAAAGGGAATGAGTACACAGGATGGCCCCAAAATTCCCCTTGTTGAAAAGCTTGCTATTAAGGGGAGTGCTGTATGGTCAGCCATACAGCATAGATGGATTAGATAGAAGCATACAGATGGATTTTGGCTTCATCTCTTCCGTAACTCATTCTTTTTGTTACACATGCATTCCCCCTTATGTTTTCATCAACATTTTCTAATGTCAAAATATTCCACAAGGAAAGACCAAACTAAAGGAACTTTAATTGCAGATCATGAAGAACAGCTTTTGGTAAAACCTCCATTTTTTCTTCTTTTCTTCCCATTAAGAGGAAAGCTTTTTCCTGTGCTTTTAGTTTCTAAGTACATGTGTCAGCTCTTTACAGGTAACTTAAAATCATCTGAAGAAACAATCATCATCTCACTTCAGTTATTCTTATTTAACTCTTTCTCAACTTGCCTGGCTTTTCAGTTTGGAAGATCTATTAAATTTTGCTTTTCTAGAAAGCATATGTCAGACTTCTCACTGGCATTTGCAATGTTTTACATTAGGAAAATCAGCTGTTCTAATGGTAAAAATGAAGCTTCCCAAACCTCCTTTGTTCACAAACAGTTCCCCAAAATATTACAGTATGTAATGCATTTGTGTGTGTGTGTATATATATATATATATGTAGATACACAAAGTACATTCTACAATGTACTGCTGTTCCTCCCTATTTAATCAGTGAATTGGCACAGACTCATACTCCATCCCTGTTCATCACCTGCAGTTCTTCAGCTCCTCTGAGGTATATTCTACATGTTAGTTACACCATTCCACTTGTTGGTATAACTTTATGCAAAACTGGATTTGAAATGACACAAATGATTCACACTTGGGACACATCAACATGTCAGACCTCCTCCTCCACCACCTCCTCCTCCACCATACCTGTTAAATGGTTTCTCTAGAGGTCCCTGCAACTTGTTTCACTACTTGCCTAATTATTAAGCAACTATGCTTCGGTCAAACATTTGTATGTGTTCCAAATAAAATTGATAATATTTTTCTTTAGCAGACAATTAAGAATGCTTTTATTCTTCTCCCTTCAATTCAGCTTTACCATTCTGTGCTTCATTTGGAGGTGTGGACAGCAGAGGAAAAAATCTGTAATGGGATCTCACCTTACAAGGGTAGAATCATTCCCTTTTCCTCACAGTGAGAGAAGTTTCTGTTTGATCTGCAGCTCATGACAGTGCATCAAATGCCACTTCCCAGGATGACTGAATTTCCTAAGGAAGGCAATCTAAAGATCACAGTTATTTCTGGAACAGAGAAGTATTTAAATAGGACTATTTAAAACCACAAAGCACATCTCTAGGAGATTAGGTCCAATTTTTTTAATGCTGTTAAACACCATAATTACATGGTAACATGGTAACAGATATCCCTACAAACTTGAAAATATATACAGCAGATTAACAGGTATTGTAGAAGTCTAGAAAATGAAAAGAGTGTATAACACAAAAGACTTTTTAGAAATGAAAGGCTTCTGACAGTGTTTGAGATTTCCAGGACTTCTACCCATATCACTACAGATATGACAGAGTTTTGCCTTTAGGTCTTTCAGTAAAGACCATTGGTGTTAAAGAGCAGTATAATTTAGTTTTGTGATTATTAAATAAACAGAAAAGAGTCTCATTCACTTCAGGAAAACTGACAAAAAGAAAAATATCAGGTTGGGTTTTTCTTTCAATATGCTAGTACTGTAATATAAATCTATTTGTAGAATAGATGTATCTATGTTTCTACATGAAATATATGAAAGAACAATAAAGTATATGGAAATAAATACAACCATGTTTCCTTTTTCACTTCCTCTCATTTTTTTTTAGAAGGATTTAGAGGAGTGTGATTTTACTTTTTTTACAAAAAAAAGCTGTGGTGGTTGCAAGAAGAAACTAGATTTTGGATTTTGCAACTAGCTAACTGAATTTTTTAAAAATGGTAATTTCATTCCAAACAGAAAGGAGATTTGATATTTTTCATATTTCTTTAGGGCCTGATTTATAAATTACCTTCTGCTAAGTTCAGGATTATAGCAGACTGGCTATTCTTTGGCTCAAGTCTCAAGTCAAGAAGGCAGAGAAAAGCAAAGAAGCTCTGCCTTCATGTGCACATGCTATCTCTTATGTGACTGTGTGTTATTAAATAAGCACACCAATAGGATGGGGAATGGAGGAATATGACACTTGCGACTCCTCAAGAAAGGCACACAGACACACACAGACACAGAGTCATGAAAGTATTCTTTAAAGATATAATCACTTATAAATTATCCAAAAACTGGGTGTTGTAAAAATAATCATTAACATTTTTAAATCTTCAAGGATCAGTAAAGCTAAAACCTTTTAACTTAGAAACAAATCGCCCTGTGCATTGTGTTTTGTACAGTTTGATCTTAAGGGTGAAGGACTGAGTTTTCTAGGTCAAGAAAAAAAATTACTTCTTCCCTTTCTGACACATAAGTCAGTAAATACCTCATTTTAGCCAAGTCTATTTTTGTTGTATGGTTTCCAACCTATTAACCAGCAGCATCAGAGCTTGATAACCTCTGTGGGAAACTGACCACAGAGCACTTGGAAAGGCACAGCTCCTTCCCACAGTCAGTGGTCAGAAAATGATGTTTCAAAATGAATGTTTTATTTATAACATGTTCTTTTCCTTCATCTCCACATTTAGTTTAAATTTAGTTTGTAATATTTTATAGACAATACTTCTTATCCTAAATAACTGCTTGAGTATTTATCCTGTGTGTCAGAACAAATCTCAAAATATTTTCACTTTCATTCTGTCTGCTCTATTTGGAACATTTTTCCAGCCTGTGGTAGCTCAATCAATTCTTGAAGCATGAAAGTGATGTGGAGAGATGAGAAGTAAATATGTCATTACTAACATGTCTTTAGAAATAGCACTTGTAGGAAAACATAACACTGAGTGGATTAGGAAGGAAATAAGCTTGTGACCTAAAGCCTGAGAAATCAGGCATACAGGTGCTGGTATGCAGGAGAGAGCATATCCATAAATTAAACAAGAGTGAAAGAGACATTGCTTGCAGAGTACAACATGTAATGTGTCAAATGAACATGATCAAGTTAATCAAATAAGCACCTGCACCATTCTCATAATTAATATTTCAACAGGCTATTATACAAGTAAAATTATATCTCCAATATGTCTATTGTCTTTCCTCCACCCCAAACAGCATTTGTGAGAAGAAACTGTTAACAATTCTGTTATTCTCTGACAGTATCTAGTACAAGGAGAAATGGACTCACCATGTTTCTTAAGTGGTGAGGCTGAAGTGAATGGGTCCAAACAAACCATACTCGGGAGCTGCATGTTACTGCTGTGAATCTTCATGAAAGCAGAACAGTTTCTCTGTTTTCAATGTATGGCATAGAAGACTTCCCATCTTCACATGTCCAAGGCACAGGTAGTACCAGTTTATGGGTAGTTGTCAATGTTGGCCATTATAGGGTAGATGGTACAAATCACCTGCTAAATACATTTTACTACATCAGCCATCTTAACAGAAGAAATCCTTCAGGAATCCTTTTCACTACAAAGATCTCACCTGTGTGCTTCTGCTTCTGCTCCTTTAGCTCTGTCTTTCCCCTGTTGGCAGCAATTCTGCTTGCTCTGTTGCCTCTTTCAAACACATGCTGTGAAGATGCTTCCCAGATGTTCAATGCCTAGATTTAAAGCAACATGGCATGTTATCCTAAAGCTTAGCAATTACAAGGCATTTAGCAAATGGGAAATGAAACTTTAAAAGAATATACCACTACCACTGACCACTGTTTCTTTTTCTTGTTGTGATGGTATGTTTGTTTCAACTGTAACACCTGATTAACAACTTTGGAATAATAGATATAACTGCAGATTAGACAGTCTGTGAACTGTGTCTACCCAGGTGTTCAAGCTATGCAATGTATTTCTCTAAAGCTGTTTATATGAAATTCTGTCACAGGTATTAAATATCACTGCTGGACTTTGGATACGAAAATGGTCCAGAGTAATACTAAATTTGAGACTCTCCCTAATTATACCCATTGACTCAGAAACTCCATCATTTATAGCTCATCTTGAATTCCCTGCAGCTACATCTCTTAAATAATAACCTCTTTATATGCTCATTGTTAATCATCCATTGTTGAGTATGTTTCATTTTTCCTTATTGCTCATTTTCAAACATCAGTTCACTATCTGACCAAATAAAATGCTATTTCCTAAAAAAGTGAATGCTGATAACCCATAATTTAACTATCTTTTATAGATAGTAATATTGTGGGGAAAAAAACTAATTTAAAAACATGCAATGAATATTAGACAAAAAAGGACTTTGTTAAAGATAGTTGCTATCTAGAGCCTATAAAACTATTCTATTAAAAATAATAAGTAAAAAAAGCAGTGGGGTAAAACTTAATTTAGCTCACTGAGAAAAAGTTTACAAGGAATTTTAAGTTCACGAGTGCTTTAACCACCAAAATTCCCAGCATGCAATTCTCTGGTGATGTACAGAGCAAATTATGTTGAAGGTGCCCTGTATAATTCCTGAACAAGTGACAAATGCTGGGCACTGGAACATATATTACTTTCTGTAATTTTAGTAAGAACATCAGAGAATGGACCACATATTTAATTATTTTTAAATTATAATATGTTTAATGGAAATAAATACATTTAAGCCTTGATACTGTGTCAACTCCTTGGACCTTGTACTAAGGGAAAGACTGCAGCTAGACTTAAGCCTGTGCATTTACTTTTGGCTCTTGACTACAATAGAGGGATCTGCATCAGTTGCTCAAACAACTAAAGAAAAACACATCTGTCCACTTCAAAAAGTGGTATCAGTGAAATATGGGAAGCAGCTTTACAGGAAATTGTCAAATCTTAGCACCCAGGCAACATTTTGGAAGGAAACAAAGGGGAGGGTTGAGGAAAGAGTGTATGTGCAGCTGAAACAGAGTGCCTACCATGAGCTAGAAGTCCTGGCCATTCTTCAGCCATTTGCTTCCCCACTCTGCTTTTGTTTCTGCTTTGTATTTTTATTTTCTGTTTCACACCACAACATACTTCTAATAATTTGCAGCTATTTAAAATAATGACCAAAAAACCTGAAATAGCAAATGACTGTGGAAAATGACAACAGAAAGAATGTAAATGTCTGCAGCAGTACTAGACAAAAAACAATTATGTTAGAAAACACCACTTTCACAATCACCGTTTTGTTTTGCTGAAAAGCAGAGACACACATTGAGACATTTTAAGACTGTTGAGAGGTCTAAACTGATAGGCCTCTGTATCTAAGTAAATTTCAGCAAGAATGTGCAAAGAAAAGCAAATATGATCTGTGAATTTATAAGAAACAAACAAAAAGCTGGAGCCCCCACATGCTCTCATGAAACCTCCAAAAAATAATGTTTGTTTCATACTTGCATGCATTCAAACAGTAGCATGTACAGGTGAAAACAGAGATAAGAAATTACATCCCTCAATATGCTCTTTAAGAGAAATGCAATAAAGAAAAAAAGGATAAACTTAAGTTGACACATTAATTTAGTATACAGCAGTGTTCCTTTTACAACTGCAATGCAAAGAAGATAGTAAGTTTATTGTGGGCTTAAAATAAGATTTTATTGTACTAAAAAAGACAAGAATTCTATAAAAATGTGTTGGTGTGGATTTTATTTAATATTGTGGTAGACATTTTTCAAATTACTTTGGAATTACATAAACAGAATGTGCCAGTTATTGTATTTGATTCAAATGTTTGGTATATATCTCTACATTTAAAATGGCAGGAGGAGATAGAGGAAGACAGTTACTATATTTAATTTTCACTGCGTTTCAAACCTCAATTTGTGCTACCTATGTGGAGAGCCTTTTACGCTGCCTCAGGTCAGGACTCTGGAAAAAACCCTCATAATATTCTTGGTTACTAATCACACTGGTTTAGTAAACAATTTCCATTACTTGAACCAAGCCTGGAAATTGTAGTCTGTTAATGTTGGTCAGAAAACTGTGCTGTCTCTACTCTCTATAGTCTTTGTTGCTGTTCTTTCTAATAAATTTCATACTAAACACAGCTGTCTCAGATCCAGACTTCTTATTCTGCATCTTTTTCTGGTAATGTACTGCTAGTTAGTTATGTAGATTTCTAGTACACACTTAACATAAAATATCTTTGATTTTTATGTGATTTTATTTAAATTTACTTTCATATGCTGTGGCAAATTTTACTTCTACTGAGCTGGTGGGTTTTTTTTAGTTTTTAGTTTTCATAAATTTTATCTTGATTTTTTTTTTTAATGATACTTTACATGCCCTCCTTTAAAAAACGCTCCTCAATCACTATAGTGTAATACTTACAAAAAGGCTCATTCGAACTTGTTTGTCTATTGTCAAATTACTTGACTGCGGCCTCAACTTCTTTATGTGCTTATGAAAACACACAAGTATTTTGACTGCCAATAAGACCAGTAGATATGGACCACTGCACAGGATTGGTTTAGGCAGGGAAGTTTCTGTACCCACTGTAGTCCTCCAGTTGTTATTTAATCCATTGTCAAGCTGCTGATTTAGCACCAATCTTCATTATCATGCTGTGAGAAATGCTGTAACGTTTCAAATCAATATAATACAATTTGCTGCATATAACTGTGTGTGACCCCAGCAAAAACTGAAACATCACATTACCCAGCATTGTTTACAATACAAATTCAAAACATACAAGCTACTGTGAAAAAAAAATGAATTATATCCTAGCACAATTGGCAATTCTGCAAAAGTTTTCTCAGGTTGTCTCAAGCTCTTTTCACAGCCTTTGCTTCATGTACACAGCACAGCTATTTTATACCCTTCCTCCAAATGAAAATAGTCTTATTTTAAGGTTATGTATCTGGAGATAAGATGAATGAGCAGGTTCCAGGCAGCTAAAGGGATTCAAAGCCTCCAGAGAAATTCTGTCTTAGTGCAATGGAGCATTGCAGAGCATCAGCCGAGAACCATGGCTTCGACTCAACAGCTTCCTTATGGGCTGCAGAGAGTTTATGTAGCAGGTGTTATTAGCACTCCTCTCTAATAGTCACTTGAGGGAGTCTGTCATCAATCTTAATAATGCCATCAGCATTCCAGCAGATGGCAAACATGATTCCATGCACTCCCATTGCACCAGAATGGATTCTCACCACAATTTTAATTGCAGGTGAGAAATGTATCAGAAAGAGGCTTTTCTCATGCTGGTATTTCCAAAGGTTTGTTCCAGACAGGACAAAATTGTACTGTTTTATCTTTTTTGTTGTTTTTTTATTATTATTTCACTATGATTGAGGGATTTTAAGATACTATCAATTTGCTCAGAACAAGAATTGGCTTCAAATAATTTCTGTGTACTCTCCAGCAAAGCAGTCTTGTTTTGAATTAGAATTTGAGATGCCAACATTTTGTAGGCCATGTAAATGTTAGCAAATGTAAGGGGTCAGTTCTGCAAAGAGCATTGAAACAATTATTTGAAGAGAACCCTAACTTAAAATTAAAACCCAA